TTGTTTGCCCCATAAAAAAAAAAAAACTATATATACTTATATATACTATATAATATACATACGTATATATGTATTTATTTTTCTAGGGGGTATGCCCCTTGCCTGCAGCCATACACGATGGTATGAGGCCAGGGATGAGGGTGTGTCCGGTATCTGAACAGTATGCTAATTTTACGGGAGTGCTCGGCTGGCGGTTAACGAAGCCATGTGGAATAACTGCAGCAATCACATCTGTCTTGATATATTACGCACGGCAGACCCAGCCTTCGTTGAGTGTGTAATGGAAGTGCTGGGCGCGATTACAATTATAACTAATATGCTCTGCATGGTGTGTGTGTGTTGTGTGTGGGTGTGTGTGTTGTGTGCTGTGTGTGTGTGTTGTGGTGTGTGTATGTGTGCTGTGTGTGCTTCGTGGCAGCGCGCGCGCGTGTGTGTGTGTGTGCGTGTGTGCGTGTGTGTGTGTGTATGTGTGTGTGTATGTGTGCATATGTGTGTGCGCGTGTGTGTGCGTGTGCGTACGTGTGTGCGCTCACGTGTGTGTGTGCGCGCACGTGTGTGTGATAGATTTCCCGACTTCTATTATATCATTCCATGTACAACACATTGCCCTCAACAACAATAATCTCGTTGACATCACCATTACGCTGCAGGCAACAATAACTGTCTCGCACCATGTTTATCATATCTCCATAGAAACACACGTAACCCACGCTAAAACACGAAACGGACTTTCTCGAAATGCACGTATCTCTCATATATTAACTATAATAAACGACGACATATACACGAAACATGCCATTATGCTCATATTTTCAACATTCGCTGCAGGCTGTGTCAACATCATTCGACGATCGACATGGCAAACAGAAAATGCTAAATAAAATGCTAAAATCTTGTGTTCGTAGAAGGTTGAGGCACTATCACAAAGATTCGGAGTTACTATGATTGTCATCGAATTAACAAAACACATTTTATATATAAAGACCTATAGTAGACAGACAAACAGACGGACAGACAGACAGTCAGACAAAAAGAAAAACAGACAAGGATACAGGCAGGCAGACAGACAAAAAACACGTTGATCATTATATACATAAACGCACACGCAGACGCAAAGACGAACAATAAAACCTATATTTCGCATCCGTAGATACTTGTTTTCTATTACATCCTCCCAACTACTCGTATATACTACGACTAATAAAAAAATCTGTTCTGAATAGAAAATGAGAGTGTGGGCGTTCCATATACACCTCGTGATATTTAACATCGTCAATTTACTCCCGTAATTTGTTGGCAATTTATTATTCACTCCCATTGTCTACGCAAATTGCTAAACTAGATATTGCAGCGGGAAAATTCACATGCTCGGAATTCCACGGATTTTTCCTCCGCCGCTGACGTAATAGGCAATTATGTAAAATTCGCGCCACGAAGCCTATATGTATTCACATCGGCTTCGTCTTTAGTGTGAAGGAAAAAAAGAGCAAGTAAATCAGTGTTTTTAGTGCGAACTGAGCAAAGCGCGTGCAAAGCGGTGATACGGTGCGTAGACAGACACTGCAGTCAGCACGAGCTGTACCTACTGACAGACGCACCAGCAAACTGTCGCACTAGCTGTACGGAACTAAGAAGGAGCCTTTCACGACGGGGAAACGAAGCCCTACTAATCACTTGTTTCTCAGAGAGTATCAGTATAGCCGCGGGCGCGAGGAAAAAACCCGTGTATCTCACGCAGGCAGCCGTCTAATCATTTAAAAACGGGCCATCTTGAATGAGGCATCTAACGAACGCAATATAGCGGGCGCTATACAACGACAGACACAGTGACCTGCATGCCTCACTGAATGCCCTCAGCTACGAAGGGAGACTGCGATTGAAAACTCATGCGCGCGATAGAGAACAGAAGAAAGGGAGAGGAAATGGGGAAAAAGGAGAGAATAAACGAAAGAAACAGACACATGGAGGGAGAGAGAATGAGAGAGTGAGAGAGAAATGAAGAGAAATAGAGAAGGGAAAAAAAGAGAGAGAAAGAGAGAGATGGCGAGAGGAAAAGTGTCTCTATGAGAGAGGATGTAGAATGAGTGAAAGGAGCCTTGGGATTTGCAGGTCGTGCTGCTGCTGCTACGGTTACTGTTGTTTTTGCTGCTGCTGTTACTATTGTTGTTGTTGTTGTTGTTGTTGTTGTTGCTGCTGCTGCTACTGCTACTGTTGCTGCTGTTACTGTTACTGTTGTTGTTGTTGCTGCTGCTGATGCGGCTACTACAGCTGCTGCTGCAGCTATAAACACTACTACTGCTGCTGCTACTGCTGCTGCTACTACTGCTGCTACTGCTGCTGCTGCTGTTGCTGTTGCTGCTGCTGCTGCTACTCGTGCAGCTGCTGCTGCTGCTGTTGTTGTTGTTGCTGCTGCTGCTACTGCTCGTGCTTGCTTCGCATGCGACGCGGTCGCTCAATTACAAGCCGGCTCCAGCCTCGTGGAAAATCAATCTCCAACGATCTCAAACAGTCTGATGACGTCCGAATTTTCCCCTCTCCCCTTCTACCCTTCTCTCCCCCTCTGTCTGTTTCCCTCTCTCTCCCCTCTCCCTCCCCCTTCTCCCCTTATGTCTGTTTCCCACTCTCTTCCCCGCTCCCCTCTCGCTCCCCGTTCTCCCCCTCTCCCTCCCTCCCCATGTCCTTCTCTCCCCTCTCCCTCCCTCCCACTCTCCCTCCCTCCCCTCTCCCTCCCTCCCACTCTCCCTCCCTCCCCTCTCTCTTCTCCCGCTCTCGCTCCCTCCCTATCTCAGACTCTCTCTCTCTCTTTCCTCAACCA